ACTCAAATTCGTAAGACGGCCCACTCGAGCGGCGGCGACGGCGCGCAGGAAGAGGGAAGTAGCGCTTCGTTGCCTAGCACAGCCTGGCATGGCGGTTCTATTTCATCGCATCGCGCCTATATTATCCAAAAATGTTATTTTAGCTGAAGTTTTCCTTATACATTTCTTATTATTATAAATCGCGTTATTTAGCACGATTAAGTATACAATTATAGATATGTTAAGCGATGTAATTAATTAGAGCATTACGAAAAGCGTATGCTGATCGTCGCGATACTTTTCCGCTTGCTTTATTATACGATATATGTTTCTGTTTAATTACGTTTCGAGACACACTTCGTCGCGTCGTTTTATGCTATATTTAGTCGGAGTTTTATTTTTTGATATTTTTTTATACTTAATGCATGTACACTGAAATTATAGTATAAATTCGCGTACATAGTCGCTACATTGTAAATCCAGGTATATTATTCCATGTATTATAAAAGCACTTAAAAAAAAAGAAAGATAAAAATTGATCTGCTGCAAATTAGACTATACAATAGGAACTACAGCTCCTTTCCGACACAGGCGATTAACCTTTTCGTCACAATACCTTCCGTAGAGAAAATCGGTTCTCTTAGATAAAGGCGAGCGAGAGGTGTCGCAAAAGGGATTCTGTACCGCTCATTACCTCAAGTATTTTTTTTAGAATCGGATGATATTCTTCTTCTGATGATTTCTTACTGGTCCACAAAATGGATTAAGCGACCCGCTAATGTGACAGTTTTTAGCGGCGGGACCGACCTGTGGATCGGGACAGTGATCTTCTGCTGCAACTTGAGTAATGGAAACCTTTCCTCGATTGACGATCGCACGAGTTTTGTGACGAGGAACTCTGGAGTTTACCTGTTTTCTTTGAGGCTTCCGAAGGAGCTGATAGTTCAGTTGTCTGAAACGTTGAGTCGCCGGTTGTTTTGACTGCTGACCAGATAATTGCAACATCTTTTTAGCCAATTTACGAGCTACTTTCTCAATATCTGTGCCGCATTAATCTCCTCTGCAAAATTATTGCCGAATATATAGACAATCGTTAATTGATACTGTGTCCGATCTATGCCGATATTATGCCGATACTATGCCGATTTTCCTAGAAAATTGAGCGATAGGATAATAAACGTTCGTTTCACTTGAAAAAAGTGAAAATGTAGATCTGTCAATAGGTGAAAGCTCTCAGCGATCTTAGTGATGGCGATCTTGCCCACTGATGATAGATGCACGCATTCTAATCCTGCTCTGACATCCCCGAGCTGAGTGCATTTAATGATGCATCTAATTGGATCTGAGATTGCATCTGATGATTATTTCTGGTAATGGTATCCATTGGTCTCCTTGTTGACTTTCGGAGGATTAAGATAAAACTAGGTCTTCTTTTGGCTCGTATTTGGCAAGATAATTATTCTTAAAAGTATCTTTGAGGCCTGAAACGCGTACCTCTGTCTTGGCGATGTTGAGAATGATCGGTCAAGACACTGTTTGTGTTTGTCTCACCGAATAGCTCTAGAGTAAAATCATCATGTTTCGTTATTTCACCGTCCTGTCCATTCTTCTCAAGAGTTAACATCACTGGAGAATCAATAGAGACGACGTCAGTCTGGATAGTGTACGGAAGTAGACAGGCACCTGCCAGGAAAAAAGGAAGTGTGATAGACATAAGTCTGTTATATCTACTGTTCTGACTTTTCTTAAGAAAAGAACAGATCTTGACAAATGGAAGGTACCTGGTTCGCCGCCATGATCGGAAAGGGCCGTCTATTTGCCTAATGTGCGTAACAGATGCCTCGGCGGGCTCATCCGAGAACGTCACTGCGTCCTCGAATGAAAGTAGACTCGCGGATCTGCTAAGATTTGCCGGCGCCTCTCACGTTTAAGAAAATCTAAAAAGTCACAAAGTTTCTATTAATCCTACCGGATATGACAGGATAGACGTCTCCTAAAGCTATGTGCAGACTTCTCTCTCTCTTAAGGAGGTTATGTAACGATTGCAAGTCATTACGAGATTTCTCCTATATATTGGCATATTAAATCTTCAGAAATTAACAGGAAAAAATTATTGAAGAAAGAACTCTGTTACTCGTATAGAAACAAAAACAATGAGAGAGAATGCGGTGGCACGCAAGGAGGTCATGGAAAGAGATGCGCGCGTCATTTTTAGTTAAGCGGGAGCTGTGAACTCTGTTGGTAACACGAACATGGAACCACAATTACATAGTTCATCCATCCAGACGAGATCAGAGGGCATAATTGAATAATTCCAATAGAAGTTCTATTTCGAATAATTTCGTAATACTTTAATAAACTTTTGAAATCACTTGCTTGACAATTGATGTTGCTCCATGCTTCGAAACGAAAAGAGAAAAGGACATATAGTGGGATCTGACGAAGGTGCATAGAGATCAGTCGTAGTAATCATCATTTATTTCTTCGCAGTTGACAGATCTGAGTCAATAAACGCTACTTTGACTCGTAAAAGGGTCGTAATTTGTCCAAATTGAATACACTATGTCAATCTCTCCCATCATGCCATGAAGGGATACATAAATTACAAATGTTGATAAGATTAAGTAAAAAAGATAATCTGTAATTACAATTTCTCATTTTTTATACTTTATACTAATTATAGAGTACCAAAATAACAGATAAAGCATTTGATGAAGACTGGTATCAATTAGGACCATCATTGAAACGTATATTTATATTATTAATAATATCTAATAACTTAGAATGCAAAATTGCGGCGATTGAAAAATTTAATCTGTCTCTACCTTCATTTATGACGGTAAGATTTATTAAACATTGAGAAAACAGTTATTAAATTTTAATAAATATTTATTTGAATAGTCATAGCGGAATATTTACTTACGGTAAATAAATATTTAGATAAAAAAATGATAATTGAATTAAATTAATGATTTTTGTATCTAATAAATATACATTTATATTTAATAAATGTTTCGCTAGGATTATTCAGAGAAAAATTTATAAAAATTTAATAAATTTTTTCTCGGTGTATCTATATTCCTTATACATATTGAAATAATTAGCATACTTCAACTTTCTTATATCATATTTTTTAATGATATTTTAGATTATAAATCAATCATATTCAATCGCTATTCTGTTTTTAAAAGCGAGATGAAAAATGTATCAAGCACATTTAAATTTAGTAATATAGAATAGAGGATGTTATTTTGAGACAGGAAAAATCAAAATACTTTAAGAAAAAAAAATAAATTTATGTTTTATATAATATTAGGATTTATTAATAATCCAATATTGCGGTTAGAACATAATGGGCTACATATGGATAATATTATGATATTATTTACTATTAGAAATAACTTTTATTTTCGATCCTTCTTTTATCTTTTAAATTAATAAAAAAATAATTTGTTGTATTTATAATTATTGTAACACTGACTTTAGTAAAAAAAAGTAAAAAAAAATCAGCACTCATATTTCAATTATATTGTTACGTCCAAGCACGCATGGAGCGTTGAAGGGGAAACGCAACAGGAACCGAATTTTAGATTGATTTGGTCGTGTCCAGGCTGTCTTCCCTTCCGCAAGGGAACTGTGAAAAAAGACCGACGCAAATCAGGAAGCACTTCGCTTCGTTCTACGATTCTTAAGAAGCTGAGCCGCTTCAACCGATCAGAACACAATTTTTGAACACGGCGTCGATCTCTTGCCAGACGATCTTTCGTTGTCACTCACGTACTCGCCACTCGCGTACTCGCTATTATTTATGTACGAAATATCGTTCTAATTGCGTCTTTGCACCCGCGAGTCACGCGATCCTCGCCACCACAGATTGTTTGTGTCTAACGACGAGGCACGGACATTTGGCGATAAAGTTCTTCGAGTCGCTCGATGCACTCGACGCATCGTTGCAGCTACGCGAAACTCGCCGCACTACTCCAGTAGTTCGCGTTCCATTCGCTCGTAATTTTCCATGTTTTTTTTTCACAGTCTTTAGATCACGTTACACTCTTACACGGAGAACTCGTTCATATGTTGCAGCACCGCTTTCATCTAGAATGTCATAATGTTTTATCAACTCAGTGTTTCTAGGCGAGCATATGTACTTTTCATACCTACGCATGCACATAAAATCATTGCAATCGTCATGAAACAGTTTTCAAGCAGGATTTTCCTCGCGATATGGCATCATTAATTGGTCAATTATCAGCAGTTCGATGC